GATGATTAGACCCTTCCAGTCAATTGAACCCACAAACAAGGATCAATTCAAACAAGGGTTTGAAGATTAAGAAACCAAAAGACACCAAAATTATCAGGGAAAGGGTGGGAATAGTTTCGGGATGTAGTTTAATCATAGACTTTAGATATTTTTTCCATTAGCTTCGACTTTTGGGTAGTTGTTTACCGAATCAAATTACAAAACTCCCGAGTTTAAATTCAGAGTCTAGAATAAAACTTTTACTTATTAATCGTCCACTTGTACGCTAAAAGTCTGTTGTTTTAAAATATAAATAATCAAAACTGTCATTTTTAAGATGCTTAAAGAGGAAGCTTTTAGACAAAAGGGAGAATTTTTTAGTTGCTTTCAATTGTCTCCACATCCACATATGATACAAAGTGAGGTATACAATTGAAAAGTTATATATATATATATATATATATTATGTGGTAATGAATCATTACATTCTAAAACATTAATCTCTGTCGGTGTGGTGATTTTCATTGTGTTTATTTTGTGGTGTTTATCTCTTGAAGTTGACATCTTATGTGTCTGATTATTTGAAAGAAGCTTTTAACTGAGTTAGAAATCTGGAAGATTAAAACTTATGGTTTCAGGTTTGAAGCTTAGAGACAAAACGGGGGCATGCAGCTGAGCCGTTCGTAGTGGAGTTCAAGACTTTTTATCGTATTACTATTTGCTTTTGAAGAACACAGCAAAACTTAGGGTTTGTTTTTTTGTATAAAAGTAGTTTCTAGTTTTTAATTTTTTAATTTTATTGTTTTCTTCATTATATATATATATATAGTTTAGTGTTAATAAATAATTAACTAATTATTTTTTAGTTTATGTATTTCGACTACACACCCTATTAATATGATTCAATAAATAAAAAATATTCATGGAATATAATTAATTTAATTATTTATTTCTATTAATTTAAAGTATTAATATATAATAAATAATTATATATATTATATCTTTGATAATTATTAGAACAAATTCTTCTGAATGTATAATTTGAATTTATAGCTATTATTATATACATTGTATACACTAGATTTAATTATAAGCTAACAAGCAATAATGTGAATAAATAATACTTTTATGATGACCCAATACATACATTGTATGTAAAATATTTATTTATTTTACCTCTTAGTTAAACTATTTTAGTTTTTGTATGATAAATAATGATAGCAGCAAATAATTAACTTATAATATTTATACTTAATAAATATAGTTTTTACTGATTTTTATTAGATATTTTTGTATAATTTATTTAGATTGAAGAGCTAAGTAGATATTTATAACAATTGTATTTAATATATATATATATATATCTCTTTTAGTTAGCTCTAATTTTTACATATGTAAATTAATATTCAAAGGGTGTTCTTATTTATCACATTGACATACTATTTACAATTGTAATACCCAACATTTATTTTTTATTTTTATTTTTTTAAAAATATAATTATTATTTATTTATTTTATTTTATTTTAATTTAATGAAAAAATGGGTAAAAAATTGATAAATGATTAAATTGAAAATAATTTTAAAAAAAAATGTGTGAAAAATTTATGTTCTGGGAGTATTTTGAAAGAAAAATCAAAAATTGGGGGTTAAAACGTAATTTAAAAAAATTGTGCTACGCCAGATGCCCGGTCAGTAGGCCCGACAAAGCAGGACGCGCCAGGTGGCAGAGGCGCTGACGCGGGAGGCCACGCGAGGGGGAGTCACGTGAGCGATCCGCGTGCGCGCGATCGAACGATTGAGGTCCGTTCCCATGCGCACGGACGGCCCAAATTGAATCACACACGGACGGTCCAAATTGAATCGCGCACGGACGACACAGATTGAATAGTGATGAACGGTCCAGATTCACTTTCTATTTAATCGTGATCAGATAGTCCAGATCAAAAGTGGATGGGTATAAATAACCCCATCCGCACCCAAACCCTCACCCTAGCCACCAGAACCCCTCGCTGGAGAAGACAACCCAGCCGTCGGGGAGCCGACCACCACCACCCGCCGCTGCACCGGAGAAATTTTCGATTGTCAAACGAGGTAAAAATTTTATCTTTTGCTCAGAATTTAATTTTAAATACACTCATGACCAAATCGGAGTAAAACAACTAGCCGATTGGCTGAAAAACACTGGTAAAGCCTGGCAGCGCCGCCGCGGGGTATTTCAGAAAACGCATCTGATGAGACCCTTCCCGATTCTCGTTTGATATGATTTTTCTACTGTTGTGATCACTGTTTTCCTTCTCTACAGGTTGACCAGAGCAAAATACTCAACCGCAACGTGAGCCGGAGAAGCTGCCGCACCGGAGAGCCCCGCTGCCGGTGAGTTTTTGTTTTCTACATTTTTTCGACCAACCGATGGCCCTAAGTGTGTTTCTCGTAGGAATTGATATAAATTTGGCTGAATTCGGCCGAAAACAACTAACCCGAGGTGGATCGCCGTCGCCAGAGCACGGCGGAGCCGCCGTGTCGAATTTTCAAAATTAGCCGAGTAGACCCTGGGACTATTTTTGGATTTTTTTGGGACATTTGTAGATACCATAAGCACGTTTCAGTTCCCGAAGACGAATTCAGGGAACTCAGGGACCACCCGTAGGCGCAGTAAACCATTTAGCTTTTGGGCATCAAATCAAGTAAAGACCCCCCACCCTATTTCCTATCATATAATTGAAGTTTTAAATAAATAATAATACGGTATTTTGTACAAATTAAATAGATATGCATAATTAATTACGGATTACTAATAGAGCCTGAACCAGACATTGTTCTCTGTTGATTTATTTTACAGTTTAAAAGCATGATGGTATCTGATTTATCTATTTTATGGTTTAAATGCATGTATTACTGCTTTACTTGACCACGGTTTGATTTTGGGATTTAAGATATGATTGCATTACCGGATGCATGTTCATTTATTTATGTGATTATGTTTGATTTGATAATGGGGACTAAGGAAAAATAGAAAAGGGGTGTGATCTAATAAACAGATAAGATGACAGTCTCACTAGATATCCTGGAAGATGGTGGACGGACCGGATTCATAGG